GTGTGTGTGTGTGTGTGTGTGTGTGTGCATGCGTGCGTGCGTGCATGCTTGTGTGTTTCCTGCCTCTCTACCAAAGACTGCACTTTGCACTAACATGAAAACAAAGATGTACCGAAGTACGAGGGACCTCCAATTTTAGAAATCGGATGCGTGAAACAAAAACTGCACAGTCTTTGCTTGTCTACTAGAGCACCACTTGGCACTGATAAACCAAGAAGTACCAAAATACCAGGACCTCTTGTTCTACAAATCAGATGCGTGAAGCAAATCCTGCACACTCAACTGCCAAGGTCTGTGTGACTGAAAGTGGTTCATGTAAATGACCAGGACCATGCAACCGAGGCCCCCAGTTCATCCTCCTCCCACAAACTGCTAGACCAGAAGGGCAACAACATTCGCTTCCTCTCCCACTCATCCACACTCCAGGTCAAGGCAACTGAACTTGGCCAGCTCACTAGATCAGAAGAGAGACACCATTCTCTTCCTCATTACCATTCTCTTCCTCATTATACTACATCACCTCCTTCGACACTACAACTAATCTCGAAATTCACTTTTCTCTGCACCATTCTGAACCGGCAAGCATTTCTGATGAAGTCCTTATCAGTAGAGGTACAAGAAGTCGGTTCTACGAGTTGACTGGTACCCGTAAATGGGACAACCACATCAACATACAAGCTACGGGCTGCACAGAATGCGAGATAATTTGACTAACCGGGATACTCCACTGTTGGGCAGCAGGGAAAGGTAGGGGATTGGGTCAGCAAATGCTTGGTACCTGGAAGGTCTCGTGCTTGCTGGCCCACCTCTCCACCCTTGTTTCCATTTTTTGGGACACCCAGTGCAGGTTGCCCGGACTGTGAGCCGCTACGACAGTTTTGGCCTCTTATCTTGCCATCTTCCTCTCCCCCCCCTCCCTCCCCCCCTCCCCTCTCTGTTCTACCGGTGATAATGGTAAGCAATCGGACTGATGCCCCCTAGGACTGTGTACTGAAAAAGAGAAAGAATGACGATCGCCACCTTCTCCCGGGGTCGAAGGTGGGAACCATTCAACGTCCGGTCCGGTGTGAAGGGTTCAACGTTACAGTCAGCCACACCTGGCCCCAGGAGTCTACCGGTGGCGAGCGACATCGGACGGCTTGCATTGGACAGTGGAACGAAATCGACCACCCCACCTACGGTAGCAAGTCAGCCAGCCGGCGGCAGGCAGGTTTGCGGCAAGCCACGGCCGTACGCTGACAAGCCAGTCGTGCCAGCACCGCGCAGTCGTGAAAGCGGAGAGGGGCCAACACAACACAACAATGAACGGCCAAGGCGGCCAGGCTATAGGTCTTTGGTGAAAGGAACTGATGGAACGGCGGTTCGAGTTCCCCACCTGAAGGGCCAAGACGAAGGAGCCGAGGGGAGGGGTGGGGAAAAGGAGAGCAAGACCGGAAAGAAGCGGAGGAAATCGGAGAGAGCGAGGGAGCTGCACGGTAGTCCACCTGCTGCTACTGGGCGAGAGCGCCTGGAGAATGTCGTTTTGGGGTGTGGTTGTGTGAGGGAGGCACACACAGAGAGAGAGAGGGAGAGGAACAGTGTTTGCGAGAGAGAAAGACGTAGTTGATTAGCTGTTTTTCTCCTCGCGAGGTCTTTCTCCCACCGCCAGCGAGCAGCCGGTGTCGCCGCGCGGTTTCCATTCCCCTCTCTTCTCTCTTTTTGACACTTTTTGTAACGCACGCAGTGATCTTCTCCCGCCGGTCGACGGGTATCAGTCAGAGCTCGTCGCCGCCTTCTCCCTCTTATCTTACTATTAAACCCTTCTTCCCTCCCCTCTCACTTGCCTCCCCCTCCCCTTTTCCACTTTCTTGGTTCCCCATCGCCGAGCGCATCGCGGCGCAACTTCGACCTTCTCCTACGTTGGCATCCCCGTGGCGGCCATGGATTCTCGCGGGCGGGGTCGTGGGCTGCACGTCCTTCCCGGTCATGCTGTCGTCGCAGCTCTTCTCGTCATTTTTGCGGCCACAATTCCGATGACGATGGGGGCGCCAGCGGGCGCTCGCTCGTTGCTCGGCGCGAAGGACCACTCGTACAGCGATCATGATGCGGTTCCCCTTTATGCGAATAAGATTGGTCCGTTCCACAACCCTAGCGAGACGTATCATTACTACGATTTGCCGTTCTGCCAGCCGTTCGGAAAGAAGAAGTACAAGCCGGAAGATCTGGGTGAGGTGTTGGAAGGAGATAGGATGGTGAACACGATGTACGACCTGCCCTTCAACATCGACAAGGGGGAGGAGAAACTCTGCACCGTGCAGCTTACGAGGAGCGACGTTGGCAAATTCCGCCGTGCCGTGAGAGACGATTACTACTTCCAGATGTTCTACGACGACCTTCCTGTGTGGGGTTTCGTAGGTCGCGTCGACACCAACGGAGTGGAGCCGCGGTACTACCTGCACACGTTCTTCAACTTCCAAGTGGAATTCAACAAGGACCGAGTCATATATATCCAGGTGACACCGGACAAGGAGAAAGAGGTGGATATCACCGAAGATGCGGCGAAGGAGGTAACTTTCAAGTACGCCGTGAGATGGATCCGAACCGATGCTCCGTACGAGACCCGTATGGACAAGTACGCCAAGTACTCTTTCCTGCCTCAGCATCTTGAAATCCACTGGTTTTCCATTATCAACTCCTGCGTGACGGTGCTCTTACTCACTGGCTTTCTCGCGACCATTCTCATGAGGGTCTTGAAGAACGACTTCATCAAGTACACTCGCGAAGACGAAGCGGCCGAAGATCAGGATGAAACGGGCTGGAAGTACATCCATGGCGACGTGTTTAGGTTTCCGGCGCACACCAACCTCTTCTGCTCGGTGATTGGCTCCGGCACGCAGCTCTTGGCCATGGTGCTGTGCATCTTCGGCCTGGCTTTGATTGGTGTGTTCTATCCGTATAACCGCGGCGCGCTGTACACGGCGTCGATTGTACTATACGCGCTGACTTCGGGAATCAACGGCTACGTGTCGGCTTGCAACTACAAGCAGATGGGGGGAGAGAACTGGGTGAGGAATGTTATGCTGGCGGCATCGCTGTACTGCGGACCGTTCTTCGCCGTGTTCGCGTTCTGCAACACGGTGGCTATAGCTTATAGCTCGACGGCGGCGCTGCCTTTCGGGACGATAGTCATCATCCTGATCATATGGGCGCTGGTCACTTTCCCCTTGACCGTGCTCGGAGGCATTGCAGGGAAGAACACGAAGACGGAGTTCTACGCGCCGTGCAGAACGAACAAATTCCCGAGGGAGATTCCGCCGCTGCCGTGGTACCGCCAGACGATTCCGCAGATGGCCATGGCGGGATTTCTGCCGTTCAGCGCAATCTACATCGAGCTGTACTATATCTTTGCGAGTGTGTGGGGGCACAAAATTTACACCATCTACAGCATTTTGTTCATTGTATTCATCATTTTGATTGTCGTGACCGCGTTCATTACGATAGCGCTGACCTATTTCCAGCTGGCGATAGAGGATCATGCGTGGTGGTGGAGGTCGGTCTTCTGCGGAGGCTCCACCGCGTTCTTTATCTTTGGCTATTGCTTTTACTACTATCTTGCAAGGTCCGACATGAAGGGATTCATGCAGACCTCCTTCTTCTTCGGCTATATGGCGTGCGTCTGTTATGGGTTCTTCCTAATGCTAGGATCTGTTGGCTATCGGGCGTCGCTCCTCTTTGTGCGACACATTTATCGGGCGATTAAGTGTGAGTAAGTAGAGAGTGGCGGCGGCTGTAAGGCGAGGTGATGTGAATGATGCCCTTAGGGTAGGTAAGTCGCACTAGTGGCTGTGGTCGTCGCTTTAGCTTTGGCTTTGGCTTCTTCTTTGCCTGGTTTTTGCCTTTGAGGGGCGCCGGTATTTCCGAGGGCGCGCGGTGGAGGCGATGCTGATCGCGGTAGATTGCCATGGCTGCGTGGCTGGACGTACGACGCCTTGGAACATCCATCACCGCCTGCGTAGGGAAGTCGCTCTCGTTCTCGATGTCCTGTTTGTGCCCTGGGCAGTTTGCTTGCTTACCCGTAACGGAGACGGGAGGGGGGGGTAAGCGTCAGGAGAGGGGTTAGGGCGAATCAATGAATAAACTGGATAGCCAATGGTACTTGTGGGGACTTTTTCTCGTCATTGGCGGCGGAGAAATGGAGGTGGTGGAGTATGTCGCACGTGGAGGACGACGGCACCGTGCTTGCTAACCTGCGGGTGCACTGCTGACCCAGCAGGTCAGCTCAAGAGTAAGTGAGAGAGCGAGTGAGTGACGGGAAGGAGAAGTTGGCAGTGGGCGGGGAGGGGGGGGGGCGGAGGGAGGAGGAGGAGGTGGGCGTCCGTCGTTTAGCAGTTCGGTGGGAGAATATCCAATGGTCAGGCTGACGCAAACGCCAAACGCGTGGAGGGTAGTGACTGACTTGTGTGTTCCCTTTGCAATTTGTCAAGCGTGTGTGAGATATGGACTGCGCACGCGCGCCGGATGGCGATTGTCCTTCTCCATCTATCTGGCAACAGCGACCTTGGGAATGTTAATCGGGTGTGTCGGTAATTAGGTGGTGAGGATTTTTTCTACTCCATCCTTATCGCTAATTTGGTGGTTACGTTCTTGTGAACTCTGCTGGAGATTCTGAACTCGACGTTACTCAGTTCCGTGCTGCGGGCCGTTTGTCCTTGTTGGGTATATGCAACTAATCAAAGTTGTGCACGGGAAGGAAGCGCGGGGGAGGGGGGGTGGCGCGGGGGCGATAAAGAGGGAAGGGAAGTTGCCCATGAGTAGCAAAGCTCTCCATGAGAGGTCATGAAGCCACACACACACACACACAGAGAGAGAGAGAGAGAGAGAGAGAGAGAGAGAGAGAGAGAGAGAGTGAGAGGCGTTTGTGTTCATGAGTGCAGCACAATGTGTCGGTACGGAATTGGGAGCTAATTGTTTGCGACTTGGCTATTGATGTTCTTAATAAACTGGTTTGTTGGTCTTTTTTTAGTCAGGCGTCGGGTCCAATGCCATCACTTGCCTGTGTGTTTCTGTTTTAATCTACTTTTGTTTTTCACTCGTCGTTTTGCAAGACCGGGTTGTGTTTTTCAGCGCTTGTCTGATGCTGCTACTAGGTCTTCCATTTGCGGAGATGGTTGGCGGGAGTAAGATTGGTGAGGTGGTTTGACGAGGACTTTTAACGAACCTCCACCTTCATAGGAGGTCTGGCAAGCAGTTTTGGTGAGTGGTCTCTCTGTTCTGTTTTTGTTCAACAACGTTTTCTCATTATTATAGGGTTTAAAGCGTTGATGGCAGTGAGGGGGTTGTCGACGATTATCGACTGCAGATGGGGCCGTGTGGTACCTTTTTCATTTCCCACTTCATTCCCCTCATGACTGCCTATATCCTAGCGAGAGAGAGGGATCACTTTAAGACTTGTTCCGCTAGGTCGGGCGACCCACGTTTGGTTGGTCCCCCTGTGGTCTGTCTCATTGCTTCTTCTGATGCAGCCACCGCTTTTGCTTAGTTCAAGGCCTCATTGGCACAGGACGAGCGGTGTGGTTCTGTCTTTTGCGGCTTCTCTGTCTCTATGCGGGCAACGCTGACCCAGGGTTCGCTGCACTGGACACCGAGGGCCTAGTTGCACCTCTCGCCATCCGCCAAGATGTTGAATGCATCCTGCCAACACTATGTCCAAATGCAGTCTTGTACACATGACACTACTCTCCTTGTCTTGTACACATGACACTACTCTCCTTGTCTTGTACACATGACACTACTCTCTCCGCGTAGCGAGCTGATTGGTGTTGGATTTTGCGGTTTTGGATGCTGACAAGCGGGCGGGGGTGCGTTTTTGTGGTTTGTTGCCTCTGCTCGCGCAACTGCTTGTCGGGTCTCACCCTGTAGTGGCATGGCGCTACTGACATCGGATTGTTGAGTGACGCATTAAAAAAGAACGTGGGTTTGCATGGCGTCGTGAACGTGTCTGTTGTTGATGCGGTCCGTGTTCACCGTTGACTGCAGATGTGAGGTAAACAAGTCTCTGGTGTGCTGTGTGTTTTAGTCGATGTGCGATGTGCTGGCAGGGGGTGCGGAATGTTTTAAGGGGAGGGGATGGATGACCTGTGCTTCAGGTAACCGGGAAGACTTCACTTCACACACAATTGAAGGCCTTTGCCGCTTGCTGTGAGACAGGGTAAGTGTCGCCATGGCCATAAGCAAGTGGAGCTGATGGTGTTTATCGCAGGGTGAGGAATATCTTTTTCTTTCGTTATGCTTTTGTATTGTCGGATGTTTTGGGACTGCTGTAGACACTCAGGGCATACTCGCACTAGGACTTTCCTGGGTGTAGGGGACCGCTTTTCCGGACCGGCGTGGATGCACCTGACCGGAATTACGTCCACAAGGAAGGGGAAAAAGTCCTCGTGAGTACGACCTCAGGGCGGCCGTTGTGGCTCGCAGTAGTTGGGATCGAGCAGGTGTGCTTGTCCATGGGCAGGGTCCACATTGTGCTATGCTACGCTAAGCTTAGCATGTAGCGGCCCTGCGTTTCGAATCGAGCATGAGTGTTGGTAGCGCAGGCGCACAGGCGGTTGGGGCCTGTTCCTGAGGTTAACTAGAAAAATAAGCTTCTGCTACTGCTCGTGGGAGTGCCCGTAATCCCGCAGATGAGTCACCGTGTACAGCTCACAATCACGTTGACTATCGAGGAGCTCTCGGTCATAGGAGTTTAACGCAACTGGCAGCACTGCACTTTGTGTAGTTAAGGGGGGTCTCTTATACACATCTAGATGTGTATAAGAGACAGCCTCCGTACGTACGGGCGTTCGGGGTCCCGTACGGGGTCCGAACCCAACGGCGTTCGGCCCCCGCCAAAAATTATTTCGGGGCCTAAAAATAATTTTGTTTTTCTGAATTTTGTTTCGTGAGTTCTCTATCAGGTGAGGTCCATGCTGTAAATTTTCAAGTCATTTGGCTAAGCCAAATAAGACTTAAAAATCGCCAAAGATGGCGGTGTCAAAACGTGTTCGCCCAAGTATTATTTCACTTTTTACTTTAAGTTTTCACTTTAGTTCGGGCTCTAAACAATTTTATTATTTTTTGAAACATTTTTAGTGGGTTTTGTATTATGTGAGGTTTACATCTGTGAATTTTCAGGGCATTTGGCTATGCCAAAAATAAATGAAAAATCTCCAAAGATGGCGGGGTCGAAAACATGCTCGCGCACTCACTAAATTTAATTATCTTTTATTTTTATTTATTTTTAATATTTGTATTTGTTTTCCGTATTTCATTTTTATTTCAAATTTGGTAAGGAATTCGGATGTGATGCTGTGGCAAATCTTTTTTAATTTATTTTTCTCCATAACATAGCTTTTTTTCATATTTTTTTGATGACCTTTTTGATTTTTTTTTTTTTTTTTTTTTTTCGAGTTCGGCCCGAACTTGCCGAACACATCCCCAAGGGGTCCCATACGTTCGGGCGTCTGGCCCGTCCCGAACGCCGGTTACCCTGTATATATATATATATATATATATATATATATATATATATATATATATCGTCACAAACAGAACTGTCCAGTAAAACCGTAGGCAGAGAGAGAGGAGAGGACAACAAACGAGGGGCTGTGACAAACTGTTTCGTCGGAGTTTCACCAACTCATCAGGAGGCTGAATATATATATATATATATACAGGGAATCGCTTTTGCTTTTTTTTTCTCTGGCTACTAAGATGTTTCAATTCACCAGGTTCTCTTTTATCCGCCTATGGATTCAGCGGCAGTACAAGGGGTTACCCCATTCGGGAATCTCCGGATCTATGTCTGTTTTCGACTCACCGAAGCATTTCGTCGCTTACTATGCTCTTCTTCGTCTCTGAGTACCTAGGTATCCACCGTAAGCCCTTCCTTATTTGAACCTATTACCTTCCTTCCGGACTCCAAGAACATTGTAATTAGAATTAGGTTATATAAATTTTTAATTTTATTTTTAATTTGGTATATAATTTTGATATGACCTTAAGATAAGGGAGGTGGGGTAATTCCCTTGTTAGTGAAAACAACATTGTGGAGGGAGTTTTTGTTTTTATAATGAAGAATGTGGGAAGGTGTTATCCGCTTTGAATCGTGAGGAGGTGGGTGGGTATTGCGGGGTCTTTGTCAAAAGTTTAGGGCCAGTGGGTACAGACCTTTGTTGCGCGGCGGATTAACAGGGGTTGGTAATAACTCTAGATGAATAGTGAACATGATCATGTAGCGAAAACCGCTGGTTTCCTTTCTATGGTTTAGATTCGTTTTCTTCGATAATTCATTTTTTTTTTTTTTTTTTGTTAATTAGGTTTTCAGGGAAGACATTGGAATTGTTGCGACTGGGAAGAAAGTTTGTCTAGATTTGAATTTTTTTTGATTATTTTTGTTAATCAGGTATTCAAAGAAGGTATAGTTGGAATTGTTGTGACTGTCTTTGTTAATTAGATATTAGGGTAGATCAATGTGAAATCCTTATTGTTTTCCATCTCTTGGTGATAACTTAGATTTTGATGAAAATTTTCGTTGATTTTTCAGTTGTTGGGGTTGTGGAGTTGGTTGTAGGGTGAAATCTAGTGGTGCTCTCGATATGCTTGGTCGGTGATGCCTTGCCCATCGAGCGCCCCACCTACTTTGTAAGGGACGCCGGACCCGGTTCCCGACTTTTAAGAAGACATTGCTCCATTTTTTTAAATATATATATATATATATAAAAACAGGGTTGCCGGCGTTCGGGACGGGCCGAACGCCCGAACCCGAACGCACGAACGTTTGGCACCCCCTCTCGACGCATTCAGCCGTTCGGCTGAACGTGGACAAAAAATAAAATAAAATAAAATCTAAAAATATTGAAACAAATATATGTTATGCGAAAAAATAAACTAAACAACATTTGTCGCAACATTACATCCAAATTCTTTACCAAATTTGAAATAAAAATCAAATACTAAAAATAAATAATAATAATAAAAATTAAAAAAAATAAAACGAGAATGAAATTATCGAGTGGGCGAGCACGTTTTCGACACCGTCATCTTTGGCAATTTTTCATTTTTGTTTGGCTATGACAAATGTCATGAAAATTTATGTGCCTTTGATCCGTATTAGTGGAGTTTATGACCAACACGGATGTGAGTGCGAGTGCGAGTGGGTTGTGTGTGGTGTGTGGGAGAGTGTTGGTTATAGCCTCTGCTACTACTCGATGAGGGGTGGGGGGCGATGAGAAAGGGAGGCACAGCTAATGGCAAAATGCTCGGTCTTTGTGTTAGCCGGACCCCCACCGGCGGCCCCAACCCCCGAGGGGCAATATGAATTACCTCATTTGCGAGGCCCTGTGCTTGCAGGGGTCCCCTCTCTATAGTCATAGGTAGGTAGGTAGTGTGAGGTGAATTTAAGAGAAGAATATAGCTTTAAAAGAAAATTTATGTATGTGTATGTTACATAATAGAGAATCTACAAATAAAGTTGAAAAAGTAATAAGTTTTTTCATGCCCCGAAATAAATGAAAAACAAAAAGTGAAAAGAAAAGAAAAAAACAAATTAGTGAGTGGGTAAGCAAGTTTTGACACCACCATCTTTGCCGATTTTTTATTTCTATTTGGTTGAACAAAATAACTTTAAAATTCAGAGGGATATACCTTACATCACAAAGAACTCACAAAAAAAATAAAATAAAAAAAATTTAGGTGCCAACAATGTTGCCGGCGTTCGGGACGGGCCGAACGCCCGAACCCGAACGCCTGAACCCAAACGCCCAAACCCGAACGCCCGAACGTCCGGGCCCCCCTGTAGACACGTTCGGGCGTTCGGGCCGAACTCGGACAAAAAAAAAAAAAAACGTCGTCAAAAAAATTTGAAAAACATATATGTTATGCAGAAAGATAAAATGAACAACATTTGTATCCGGGTGACATCCAAATTCGTTACCAAATTTGAAATAAAAATAAAATATGAAAAACAAAAAGAATTAATATAAATAACTAATTTGAGGAGAATTAAAATCAGTGTGTGGGCGGGCACATTTTAAACACCTCCATCTTTGGAGATTTTTCATTTTGTTTTGGCTTAGTCAAATTCCCTGAAAATTCATATATGTATATCTCACATAATACACAACTCATTAAAAAAATATAAAAAAGTAATAAAATTGTTTAGGCCTCAAAACAAAGTGAAAACAAAAAGAGAAAAGAGAAAAAAAACAAAATAGTGAGTGGGTGAGCACGTTTTGACACCGCCATCTTTGGCGATTTTTCTTTTTTTTTTGGCTGAGCAAAATGATCTCAAAATTTAGAGGCATGTACCTCACATCATAGAGAACTCACAAAAAAAAATCAAGAAAAAAAAATAATTTTTAGGCCCCGAAATATTTTTTGGCGGGGTCCGAACCTCTTCAGGTTCGGAGGGGTTCGGCCCCCGAACGCCCGAACGTACGGAGGTTGCCCCGGGGGCCTCCGTACGTATGGGCTGGTAACCATGGGTGCCAAAATATTTTTTTGCGGGGTCCAAACCCCATCAGGTTCGGCCCCCACACGGGGACCCGAACGCCCGAACGTTCGGGGGTCAACTTAGGGGCTTCTGTACGTTCGGCCTGGAAACCCTGTATATATATATACAGGGTTGCCGGCATTCGGAACAAGCCGAACGCCCGAACTCGAACGCCCGAACGTACGGGACCCCTTCAGAAGGCGTTCGGTCGTTCGGGCCGAACGTGGACAAAAAAAAAAAAACAAAAAAAAAACAAGTTTTCAAAAACTTCCGAAAACAAATATGGTATGGAGAAAAATTAACTAAACAATATTTACATGTGCACTGTATCCAAATTCTTTACCAAATAGGAATTAAAAATCAAATACAGAAAATAAACACTATGATTAAAATAAAAAAAAATAAAAAGAGAATTAAAATGAGTGAGTGTGTCAGCACCTTTTCGACACCGCCATCTTTGCCGATTTTTTATTATTTGTTGGCATTGGCAAATGCCCTGAAAATTTACAGATATGTAGTTCACATAACCAATAACTCCTTAAAAAATGTTCAAAAAATAATAAAATTTTTTAGGCCACGAAATAAAGTGAAAACAAAAAGTTAAAAGTGAAAAAAAACAAAATAGTGAGTGGGCGAGCACGTTTTGACACCCCCATCTTTGACGATTTTTAGTGTTTTTTTGGCTTAGCAGAATGACCGCAAAATTTATAGGCGTGTAGCTTACATCATAGAGAACTCACAGAAAACAATTCAGAAAAAAAAAACTTATTTTTAGGCCCTGAAATGTTTTTTGGCGGGGGCTGAACCGTGAGGTGTTCGGCCCCCGAATGGGACCCCGAACGCCTGAACGTTCGGGGGCTAGCCCGGGGGCCCCCGAACGTTCGGTCAGGTAACTCTCTCTCTCTCTCTCTCTCTCTCTCTCTCTCTCTCTCT